TGGGCTAGATTATAGAATACCCGTCCATTTCTGATACTGTTTATTTTGGGGGGATACGGTGATACGCAGTGAATGAAATGACGTAATTATTCGAGTGTTTGGGTAAATATTAAGTTTCAATGATACGGGGATACGGTGATACGCAGTGAAGGAAATTACGTAATTATTCTAATGTTTCGGTATCAAAATAAACGGGGAATCGTTAATCAAATAATTAATCTATATTTTCAATAATAAAGGGTTATAAATATATTGTATTTCTCGTTCTTAATAAACCCCGCACAAAATATTACTCATATATTTTATTTCTCGTTCTCAATAAACCCCGCACAAAATATTACTCATATATTGTATTTCTCGTTCTCAATAAACCCCGCACAAAATATTACTCATATATTGTATTCCTCACGTTCTCAACTAAACCGCGCACAAAATATTACTCATATATTGTATTTCTCGTTCTCAATAAACCCCGCACAAAATATTACTCATATATTGTATTCCTCACGTTCTCAACTATAAAACCCCGCACAAAATATTACCCATATATTGTATTTCTCACGTTCTCAACTAAACCTCGCACAAAATATTACTCATATACTGTATTTCTCGTTCTCAATAAACCCCGCACAAAATATTGCTCATATATTGTATTTCTCACGTTCTCAACTAAACCCCACACAAAATATTACTCATTGTAGCCTATTTCTCGTTCTCAATAAACCCGGCCAGCACAAAATATTACTCGTATATTGTATTTCTCGTTCTCAATAAACCCCGCACAAAATATTACCCATTAGTATAAATTTTGCATATCAAATGAGCACAATTTGACCCCTAAACCCACAAAAAAATATTACTCATATATTGTATTTCTCGTTCTCAATAAACCCCGCACAAAATATTACTCATATATTGTATTCCTCACGTTCTCAACTAAACCGCGCACAAAATATTACTCATATATTGTATTTCTCGTTCTCAATAAACCCCGCACAAAATATTACTCATATATTGTATTTCTCGATCACGTTCTCAACTAAACCCCGCACAAAATATTACTCATTAGTATAAATTTTGCATATCAAATGAGCACGATTTGACTGCGTATCCCCGTATCATTGAAAAATAATAGTTACCCATTCTCCTTTTAAACTACTCGAATAATTACGTCATTTTAATGACTGCGTATCCCCGTATCATTGAAAAATGATAGTTACCCATTCTCCTTTTAAACTACTCAAATAATTACGTCATTTTAATGACTGCGTATCCCCGTATCCCCGTATCATTGAAAAATAATAGTTACCCATTCTCCTTTTAAACTACTCAAATAATACGTCATTTTAATGACTGCGTATCCCCGTATCACTGAAAAATAATAAGTTACCCATTCTCCTTTTAAACTACTCAAATAATTACGTCATTTTAATGACTGCGTATCCCCGTATCCCCGTATCATTGAAAAATAATAGTTACCCATTCTCCTTTTAAACTACTCGAATAATTACGTCATTTTAATGACTGCGTATCCCCGTACATCATTGAAAAATAATAGTTACCCATTCTCCTTTTAAACTACTCGAATAATTACGTCATTTTAATGACTGCGTATCCCCGTATATCATTGAAAAATAATAGTTAGTAACTATTATTTTTCAATGATAAACCCATTCTCCTCTTAAAGTACTCGAATAATTACGTCATTTTAATGACTGCGTATCCCGGTATCATTGAAAAATAATAGTTACCAATTCTCCTCTTAAACTACTCGAATAATTACGTCATTTTAATGACTGCGTATCCCCGTATATCATTGAAAAATAATAGTTAGTAACTATTATTTTTCAATGATAAACCCATTCTCCTCTTAAAGTACTCGAATAATTATGTCATTTTAATGACTGCGTATCCCCGTATCCCCCCAAAGCAAACACTATCAAAATTCAAAAGTGGCCGGGTATTTAGTATAATCGCTCCCATATAGTTAAAGAAGTAAATCATAGGAAACGATCAAAGAATTAAAAATTGAATGATCAAAAATTCCTAAATCATGGAGATAGCATATCGAAACAAAGCATACTCCATTAATTAAAAGACGCATGTGGGATTTGCAAAGGCGAACATATTCAAATGATCGACAATAACGTCTAAACAAGTAAACTACATGTAGATGAAAACTAAAAGAAGTAGGACGTTATAATGCCACCTCGCCGTGTACGAAGAAACACATGACATTGTAGGGTCGCGGTCGTCAGTAAGGAACTGTAAGTGCAGGTTGTTGTCAAATGTGTTCAGCTCAGTCAACATTGCTCTCTGCTTCAACATTACATTGCTCTCTTCCAGTGTCACTGATTCGTCAAAAGCAGATTTATAAGCCAACGGCAATAGGATCAGCATCCAATAAGAGTCACCAATTTTGCGTAGGTTGAGTCACGCCGGGTAGGGATAAAATGCTGAAACCGAATCGCGGAAACGGAAACTAAAAGCGGAAACTGAAATGGGGATAAAAGTCATAAATCGCTGAAATGGGGATAAAACGCTGAAATGGAGATAAAACGATGAAATGTGCATATATATTATACATGCTACGCAAAAAAGTGAGTTATTGACAAAAATGCATATGTGGATCATATGAACCTACGAAAAATATCTTTGTATGATTCAGTTAATGTGGACTTGCACCATAAGGCTGCTTTCCAGTAAAAGTTTCTTACGAAATTTATGTGTGATTTATGTTAATTTCTGCGCGCGTATGTCTCGCGTGACATCCGCGTTCGAACGTGTGGGAAAACAACATGGCCGCCAACTAAGAGTGGTATGTTGGACAATGATTCAATACTACATCACTTCCTTAATTCTTCCGTTTAATAAAAACTATATTAGTAGAAGCTTTTGAAATGAAATGAACTCGAACGTTTTGTACAACAAGACAATATGTTTTGTGCACGAAATGTTGGCATATTTATAATTCTTAGCGGACATGGACTCAAATTCAACTGTGTAACTTTTTCAAGAACTTGTCAAATTTGTACTCGATATTTACAGTAAGTGAATAAGATTAAGGCTTCTGTACTTAGGGCTATTTCTATTAAGGAACAGTCATGAAAATTCTCGTAATAATTTTGTGTATAATTCTGAATTTGACTTTATGTTTGTGTGAAAGTGATCAATGTAGCGAAACGAGCTGTGACTTGAAGAATTTATACAAGAACGACAAAAGGATTCGACTCAATGACGGCAATTATATTCCAATGTTTGGTCTAGGTGTGTGGAAGATTCCTAACGGCCTAGACACAATAAACATAGTCACTTGGGCTCTGAATTCCGGCTATCGGCAAATCGATACCGCGGCACGATACGGAAACGAAGAAAGCGTTGGTGAGGCTCTAAGCGCTTCAGAAATACCAAGAGAGGAAATTTATGTCACAACGAAGCTATAAGATGATAGCCATGGTTATAATGAAACACTAGAAGCATTTCACAAAAGTTTAAAACGTTTGGGGTTAGATTACATTGATTTGTATATATTGAAATTCCATGAATAACAAATACAAACATTCCTAAATCAGGAACTGCAATGTAAGCACGGCTGTAGATTATGCTTTTCAGAGAAAATGACAAAAGTCTAACAATTATCTCGTATATTGGTAATTTTCTATTCAAGTCGAAAACGTTCAGTTTGGTTATTTAAAAAAGGTATGCTTTGTTTTCTATATTGAGCTTTTCCACCATATAGATAAACCAAATGCAGGCAGTTTTTTAATTAAACATCTTAAACATTGGGAACGTATCAGCCAAAAAACTTTAACCTGTATGTCCATATTGTTGAAAACCATTGAAACTCTTGATGAAAGGTGTAAAACCGCATGACTAGTAGTAAATGGCGCCAGTAAATTAAATGATAATGAATGTAGGAAGATGTAGAATTACGTCAAACTGGACAAAGATTTGATAACTATAGTTAGGCTATGGCAAAGTTTGTTCACTCTACCAAAATATAGGCCAGAACAAGGATCAGGCCATGCCTAGTTTGCAATATAAAGACGGCTATAGATTATGTTTAATGTATTTTAGATATAACGATAATAGTCTAAGGTCCATTTTATATGTCGAATTTTGGTCGCGTCGAATGCAATTAAGACAATAGATAATGATATGATAAACCTCATTAAGCTTCATTATCTATATTGTTTGAATTGCATTCGACGCGACCGAAATTCGACGTATAAAACAGGCCTAAGTAATTAATACAGATTGATACTTTTCTATTGAAGTCGTAAACATTCAGTTTGGTTGTTTAACAAATGTATGCCGACATGTTTTTCTATACTTACTGTAGCTTATTCACTGGATAAACCAAAGAGGCTTCGTACAAGAGCCCCCTTAAAATCCAGTTTCCTTCGGAATCACGTAATCCGCGTGTACTTCATTTAGATGGGCATATAAATGAACATCATTTTCTTCCTCCCCAGGGCCAGGTCTTTTGAGAGCTGTATACGCTGACACTTCATTTTCCACGTCTTCATAATTCGCATCATCATTGTCAGGATTTTCATCAATTTCTTCGGAATTATTTTTGTCCTCGTTCTTAGTGTTCTCCGGGTTTGGCTTTGATGATTTGAGTCGACGTACTTGGTAGATTAAGTATGCAATAATCACGAATGACATGACCAGCACAATTGCTAACACTATTATTCCGGCAAGATATTTTTCAGAACCATCATCATTTTCCTCTTTGCCTGAAATTTGAAAGGATTAAGAATACTACGATGTAGTAAACAATGAGTGTGTGAGTTTTTTCAATTCCATACAACTGACTTGGTAACTTCTCTAGGAAACTAGCCACGCTGGCTAAGATGCACTTACAGATATAAACGTTTAAGAAAACTTTGGTCATTCTGTAAGAAAATATGTAGACTTATTAATTATTTAATAAGTAAGATATAAAGCATGAGAAACTGATCTGTATTCTTCTAAGTAATCGAAAAAATCAAAGCTAAAGTTTATCTAAATCAGGACGAAATCTGTATCCGATTTACAAATATTGCTTAGAGTTATTCCTTTCTTTTATTCATTACGTCTAATGCAAAGAGAACACTTACTTTCATTGGTAAATTTTCCTTTACTTTCACTGTAGTTTCCAGAACCAACTTTAGTACTTGCAAGAACACGAACATAATATTTGGTGGAGGCATTCAAACTTGCGATAACTAACATCCTTTCCTTTGCAGTTTGCTTTTCAAAGCAAGGTTTACTTTCTTCATGTGAGATACACACAGTATAACTGTCGATAATACCATTTCTTTTGTCTTTTTCAGGAGGTTCCCATGTGACAGATAATGATGATGAACATTCTACAGTCACTTTGACATTCAGTGGCGGACCTTCTGGAGCTAAAAATTGAATGAGATAATTCGGTAAGTTATTTCTTATAAAATTAAATAGTGTTTCGGTTAGAGGTGTATGAGGAAGGAGACAATACGCGCACTGGAACCAACTTAGCCATGATGTGCGAGAATATCACTATTGTGTGCGAGAGTTGTTGCAATAGACCTTATGCATAATGACGTCACAAGGCTTGATGCCCGCGAGGAATGCTGGTCTTAGTAATCATCGTGCGAGAAAATTGAACAATTTAAAATGGCCACTGTGGAAATTTTCCCAGGCGATGACTACTAAGACCAGCATTCCTCGCGGGCATCAAGCTTTGTGACGTCATTATACATAAGGTCTATTGCACATAGCCAACATGGTACCTTCCCTAGGAGAACCAGTCGCGCAGAGTAATGCTTACAACGTTTAAGAAAAGCTAGTTGGACAAAAATAAAACGAACATCAGACTAATCTTTCTTCAATGACATCGACGATCAAGGTCATAATCTGTAATAATCACAAATATTCTGTTACAGTTTCAAACCATTAAATATGGAACAATCTGTCAACCTATTTGAATGTGTAAAAGCACCTACTAATTTTGTAAGAAATTAAAGCAAACTTCACACTCTGCTGATTCACAAATAATCCAATGAATTGTATATCTTTTATCTATTTCACCTTCTTCTGATGTTGTGAACGAAGTAATAATCTCTTCACCAAAACCATGCTTATTTCCAACAGCTACAGATATTTTATATGTTGTGTATGATGTGAGATTGTGTATTTCGTATTCATTTTCGTTATAGTCGGTAATATTCTGGATGACAAAGTTCTCTTTCTTCAGTTTAAACCAAAATCCTGTACGATTTCCATCTCCTACGTTGTTAGGATCCGCCCAAGATATCCTAGCACTTCTTGCCTTGATGTTAGTGACCGTGAGGGTTGTAGGTTTATCTGGTAACAGGGCTAGAAAGAAAGGAATTATAGTAAAATAACATTTTCATCTCTGTGTGCCACGATACACGTGCTATAGACACATCAAAACACGACTGAGGGTATCGGAGATTTGAATAAAACATTCCTAAATGATTTGTGTGTAAAGGTGTAATGACAGTCAATTATTACATAATAATAGAAATAATTTAATTTGTTGATTTATATCCATTTGTTGATTAATAACTTACCAACTCCACAGATTTCGATTCTCATACACGGTTGACCAACATATGATAATGGTATAAACCGTAAAGCTCTTGTTATGCCTTCAGGAAAATCTTGTATGGCTGCATGATTGTAAGCATTTTTGTTTCCGGAGATCTAAAGACAATAGTAAAAGCAGAACTTTAAATAATAGATTTAATAATTGCAGGCGTATAAAATAAAGAAATATTTCTTTTCTTCAAGTTATACCGTTATATTCCGCTTCAAACTTATATATTAGCAAATGAGTATAAACTGAAAAATAATATATAGCAATTACCGTTTGGTTCCACGCTGATCTCCAATTTATCAAATCAACAGTGTAATTCAAGTTATATGTGGCCACCCACTTGGAACTGGTACTATCTCCAAATATTGCAACATAATACAAAACATAAAGTCTTCCAAAGTCCACTTGAAGATAATGTTTGCCATCCGAGACAGGAGCACACCAAGAACTGCCACTAGATATTCTTGCATCAGAGGGACTACGACTTTCTGAAGAAGCTGAGGCAATGAATGACGAATCTGGAAATCTTTGTTTGTCTCCCAACAATGGCCGTGGACAAATATGACCTAAAACATGGAGATTAAATGTTACGAATTTTGTTTTTATCTCTTTCATTCTTTATTTTCCTCCATGTCCCAAGCACCATGTTAAGTCCCATGCACCTCATCCTTTTTGTAAAAACTTACATTTTAAGTATGAGAACTTCGAACAACTTTGGGAAGAAGCGGTAACCGAACATTGAGATAATTTTTTATCACCATCACTACACACTATACTTCCAGAAAATATTACATCTTTCAAGTCCGATGGAGCAGCTTTTTGAAGCAGTGAGTGTGCTTCTTTGTAACCCAATTGACGACAAACAACATCCTTTGCGTTTCCTAAACTTTGCCAACAAGCATTCTTGATCCCACTGTCAGTTGTCATTTTTACAAAACCTTCATTTGGTAAAGATGAATATGACAAAGACACAGTATCAACTACAAAAGGAAAACAAGAAAAACGTTGATCAATTCTTCACAGTTTATTTGGCTTGCATGGCAACCTTTGAATTTCGCCAAAACTGTTAAATGGAACAATTTGGAAAGTTCATTTTTTTCGGCGATCTTTTAAACCTTAAGAAAAATATGTGCAGTGTGAAATAATAGATGATTCCAGCTGTAGACTAAATTTTGATCTAGGCAAGAAGAAGGCAATCACCACAGGTAGAAAGAGCATGTTAATTAGTAAAATTGCAAAGTTTGGCCGCCTGGGGCCGGTTGTATAAAACTCTTAATCACTTTTTAATCACTATTTTGTAGTTAAATAGTGATTAACTCTCAAATACGCGCTTCTTATTGGATGACGTTTCCACTAACTATAGTTAACTTTAATCACTTTTTTATACAACCGGCCCCAGAAGTTGTAAAACGCGAAAAATATAGTCCTGCGAAATCTGCAAATTTTGTATTAATTTGAATTACGCGCGGGAAAATGCACCACTTTTGGCCTTAATGTGGTGCATTTTCCCGCGCATAATACAAATTAATACAAAATTGAAATTTCGTAGGGCTATATTTTTCGCATTTTACAACATTTCGTGGCCAAACTATGCAAATTTACTAATTTTAACATGCTCTTTCTAGCTGTGGTAATGGATTTTGGTCTTCTTGCCTTGATCAAATTTAGTCTATAGCTGGAATCATCTATTGATCAACAAGTGAATGAGTAAATGTGCTGGTGGATTATGGTAAATTGATTTATGCCAATGAGTGTTCGCCATTGATTACTTTCGCATTTACAATAGATGTAGAAAGGATCAGATTTGACTTCTGCTATACTGTTACCATATTAATGAACAAAGGCGTGTAATCTACACGAATCATTTAAATGGCTATATTAAGCAGGTAAGTGACTGACAGGTAGCAGTAGTGGAAGTCAAATCTGAACCTCCCTATTGTCATTAGCAATGCATACCACAAAGATTATTAAATGAAGACGTCGCTGTATCATTACATTGATATTCAAAGTAAATATATTTTGTCAATCCAGGACATGGATCACCAGGAAACAACTTGTCATCCACAGTTATATTACACTCATGTTGACCATCACATTGTTTCTTAACAAGACATGTCACATCAACTTCACAACTATAATCATCACTCAAACCACATGTCTTTGTGGCCAGCAATCCACGGTACGATGCAGTCTTGACCACCATGTACTGATCTTTAGGACAGTTGGCATTCGTTACCATATTTCCATAGCACGTCACTGAACCTGGAACAGAACAAAAATTTATAAATGACGAGCACTAAATGACAATCTCAAGTAGGGCAAGAGATTTTGTTGAATGGCATAGATAGCGATGTATACAACATGCAAAACACCATTGCTGTACATGATATTCGTATTCAGAAATTCAGCATTATATGAAATATTTGGAACAACTCTAGAGTCTTGCTCGTGATTTACTTAACAAAGAAAATCTAATTATACGTGGAGTTCAACAAGGCTCTGTCTTCGGACCGCTACGTTTTATTTTCTTCATCGATGACATAAAATATATACAGTTTTTGCTTTTGCGGACAAAATTGAGGAGTCAGCAGTTCCCGAGGTAATTAAGTCATAATACTAGAAATACATGCATGCAGCAACCCCTCGCCTTTTTTAACAGATGAGGTATAGAAATTCCATTCAACATGAAGTACTCCATGTTCAAAATAGTAATAGTCGCTATGGTAACATGAAAATAATATGAGAAAATAATAGGAGATAATTTTTTACCAAAAGAATCGTTGATTTTCATAATTTGTTATTCAAGGGAATTCATGTAGTTTTATGTCACATGTGGCTTTCAATCGGCTAAATGTTAATGTAAAATGTAACGGTATTAAAGCGTTTCGAAACTTTGCCGTGGAACTGCAGGGGAAACTGAAACACTCGTTTTGTTGACAGTATAGTCAGTATAGTTTTCTCGAAAATACGGTAAAATATATTTGCTTTATATAAGCAAAACAAAAGCTAGTTTTTGAGTTATACTTTGGTGAAGCCATATCTGCTGTAGGTAACAGACCATTATAAACACGCATAAAAACACTATACGCTGTATTAATTGCCCTAAATAAACAATATTTAGAATCACTACATTTATACATTTTCATGTAAATACCAGCTTGCAGAAAATATATTATTTATTGAGTCAAATGGCATAAAAATTTCGCCGATATGAATGAAATCGAAAACACAAAGCAAGAACGGTATGAAATTTTTATACGATTAAATTTTATATTAAAAACATCGATCTGGTTCGTCTTTGACAAAATTCGTGTTTATCAGTTTATAACTTTATGCATGCCTTTCCCACTTTGTTTCACGGTTGACAGCCACTAATTCATGAAACTGCAGGATTTTTTCCAGTTAAATAGCGAAACACATCGCAGAAATATATTGTAAAATATCAAAATACATCTTTGCAAAATGAAAAACAATATTTTTAGAATTTTAGTACGAGCTATTACACGTGCATGCGCAATAACATCGAAGACCGTCCATCACATAATGGAGGACAATTTTGCACTTCGCTATGTTTTCAAACACCCGGGTGTAAATAGCCGGGCGGAATTAGTACCCTCGCACGGCGCTTCGCGCCGCCGGCTCGGGGACAAGTAGTTTACGTCTAGCCTCTAGGCTAGCTTAGCTGCAATGATGGGTGAGAAATTAACAATAAGTAAATATGAAATGCACACTGCAAAACTACAAATAAGAACAAGACATAAAACAAATTGACTGCATACAAATAAAAACAACTTACCAAAATTAAAACGTTTATCTTCAGCGTTGGTACAATTTGTCGTCAATCCTATGTAGAGATCTATTCCTCGGTTTGTAGCGAGTCCTTCATGTGTTTTAGGGACTGCACACCGCGTCTTTTTTTCAGGTATATAGTGTACAGATAAACCTCCCCAAGAGGTCTGGGTTATAGCATGTTCCTTTTCACGACAATTAGCTGAAGGATCTGTAGCAACGAACAAATACAACATAGGAAGACGGTAACCATAATAATCCCTATATGTTCCCTCGAAACATCCCTTTCTTTTCAAATTGAGCATTGCACTATTATTACGAAACCGAAACTCAGCAGCTGGATCCAGACAGTTATTGGAAAGTTCCACATAAGATAAGGTTCCCCAAGACTGGTTCGCCTGTAGTATTCCTGTGACACTAACACACATCCCTGTCTGCACATGTTTCACAAAGAAACAAGCAGCGCCTGAAACAAAACACAAAAATAAAAATAAGTAACAAAGTAAATAATGGACTCCCGTTGCGTGTCTGTGTGCTTGCGTTTATATGAAGTACCATGTAAATAGATGGTTTTTGATGGCACAGTATCTTTCACAGCTCATTTGTATGACTTGTATCACACCAGTATATTTCATTTGTCTAAACATGCATCAAGTTAATGCAAGTTAATTAACTAATCTGATTGGCTGTCCAGTCGCTGCTGTACATTGTTTATTACAAGCAATTATTCTGATCCATTCCCCAAAAATTTAACTCTACAGATGGTTCAAATAATGGCAATGAAGTTCAATACAATTTTTATGTTCAGTCTGCAGTGTAGTTTGGGCAGACTGTGATTATAGGGTTTCGGCACGCCTTTTTTGTAGATGTTGGATGTCGGATTGCATCGTTGTCGATATCGAAAACAATAGAATATTAATGAGGGAGATGGCCGCCGTGGAACTCCTCCGACCATTTAACTTTTGAGGGGTGATTTACTGCTGGCAGGGAATTTTTTTCTGGGATCGTTATGTGCAAGATTTTTTTCCCTATCCCATCACCATGTACGATTTTTTTTCACGCTCTTTTGCAGCATTTTTTTTTCAATAGCTTATACTATTTAGATTCTTTAATTATAGTTAAGACGCTAACCGGGATAATTTTTTCCCATATAACAGGCCCTTATATTACAGGTATTATTTCTATGTATGAAATTGTTATTAAATTCTACATATCCAATGATTCATTCAAGTATTATTATTGTTTGTTATAAATGATATTGTACAATATTCAGTGGCAAACTAGCCATGACAACTGCTCATGCTATGCTAACAAACCTGCATCTATTTGAATAATGCAAATCATTAAAAACTTGCATAGCATGACATGTAGACTTTCACAAAGTCCTTCGTCTTTGTTTAGAATGAAGGAATTTTTTCAAGGAAGTAATTTCTTGAAGAGTAAGGAATTTGCAGAAGTCAATAGAATTAGAATATTTAGCTGACCTTTGACTTTATGCAAGGTGTTTTCGTATACAAATTGCACTTTCCCTCCTGAACAGGTGTGTTAGGGGTGCTTTACGTGCTTGTGTGATGGAAGGTGGGGGAACACTTTCCTTGCGATAGTAACTTCTGGTTCTAAGGTATATTTTTTTATGATACGATGATATGAAGTGAAACTAATTACGTCATTATTGTAAATCCCTGTTATTTTGAAGGCCTGGGTAAGGTAAGTTTAGCTTAATGCTCCGTAAAGCGTCTTGTTTAAGCCTGGCGCACACGATGTGATTTTAGTCGGCCGATAAAATTCGTTTGACTAAAACTAACAAAATCGTTGTGTGTGCGGTGTCATTTTTAACCGATTTTTGTTGCTCGATTTTAATCGGACAACATCTAAACGTTTTTATATTATACAATTTTATCGGTGGAATTTTAAGTATAACCAATCAGATTTCATGCTGTGATCACGTGCTTGTATTTATTGGGCAACATGGCGGCTACAGTTTAGGGAACGTATTTTTTTCGTAATCGTGTGCGGAGTATACCGATGTATATCGGTATGTCAAACGATTTTTATCGGCCGACTAAAATCGCATCGTGTGCGCCAGGCTTTAGATTCATAATCATGCCACTTATTCATGATGATGGAGATTTGAGGTTATAGATTCAGCACGGAAGTGACTGCGTGTTTGAAAGCGCATGAAATATAAATGTATGTTATAAACGACAGAAAACGCACCTTGGAGTAGCACGAAAATCACAGTCAATATTACAAAATGAAAACACTTTGAAAACATCTTCTGTAATTGAGGAAGACCTTCAATTCAAGTACGCGTTATAAAAGCGGAACAAGAAATGAAGTAGAGCAATTACAGAAATATGCATTGAAACTCGACAGGAAATCGGTGGTGCTTTTCAGATCGCATGGATTAAATATCAAACATTCCTAATTGTTTCTTTGTTGTCTATGGTGGTTTAATATCACAGTATTTACGAAAGCTTAAATCTCATTCATCAAGCTAATGCAACATGCATCAAGATGATGCGTAATCTCGTTATATCTCAAAACTACTGAAACTACAGCCTTGATGTGAAGGATTCGATTAAACTCTACTGGCACTACTTTGCCAAACTCTGCCGTTGTGAAGTTAAATTCTTGAGGAATGGATCAGAATAACTGCTTGCAATAAACAATGTACATCAATACTAATAGAGTCCAGTCCGCGTTTTACTAATAGAGTGCAGTCCGCGTTTTACTAATACAGTCCAGTCCGCGTTTTACTAATACAGTCCAGTCCGCGTTTTACCATAATGCCACACGGCTGTTGTCTCTTTCTCGACTTAAGGCCGTTTTCCACTAGGCGAATTTTTTCGCGCGACGCGATTTTTATCGCGCGAACAGTCCACGCGATTAAGTTGCAATCTCCACAGCGAGCGGCCAATAAGCGAGCGCGAACAAGCGACAAAGTAACAAAACAAGTAAACAGGAAATGGTTGCCTTCAATATACGATGGTTTTTAAGGCGCAAAATACTTACTTTGTTGCTTTTAAGAAAGAGAAGGCAGCGCTTAAAATATAGGAAGAGATTCTGGGTGAGGAAAATATACGAAGAACGACAGGCGAAGGGCGAATATCACATTCTTGTGAAGGAATTGATGCTTGGCGACCCGGAATATTTCTTTCGGCTCTTTAGGATGTCGCCCGGCACTTTTGAGCTGCTATTGACCTGGGTCGCTCCTTTAATAATAAAAAAGTCCACCAGAATGCGAGAACCAATTTCTCCAGACGAAAGGCTCTCAGTTACTTTGAGATATCTAGTCACGGGTGATGCTCACACTACAATTGCGGCGAGCTATCGTATAAGTCCTACGACGGTGGGGCGAATTGTGCAGGAAACTTGTGATGCATTGTGGAACGCTCTTTCCGAGCAAGGATTTTTGCGTGTCCCTTGCAATACCAATGACTGGAAAAGAATTGCAAACGATTTTGGACAGATATGGAATTTCCCTCATGCACTCGGGGCTTTGGATGGAAAGCATGTTGTGATGCAAGCACCAGCACGTTCAGGCTCAATTTTTTTTAACTATAAAAAAACTCACAGTATTGTGTTGCTTGCTGTTTGTAATGCTCGGTATGAATTTACATTGGTGGACATAGGAGACACTGGTAGGCAAGCTGACGGCAGCGTATACACAAACAGTTACCTTGGCCGAGCAATTCAAAATGATTTGCTCAATTTCCCTCAACCAGAGGCCTTGGAAAGTTGCCCAAGCAAACCATTCCCATATGCTTTCTTAGCAGATGATGCTTTTGGTCTTAAACCAAACCTCATGAAACCTTACCCCAACCAGTATTTACCTCTAGATGAGAGAATTATTAATTATCGACTGTCAAGAGCACGGAGAGTATTTGAAAATGCATTCGGTATTGCAACAACTCGTCATTTAGAGTTTTTCGCAGGCCAATCATTGCAACAGAGCAAAAAGGTCGTCCTTATCACCAAAGCAGTTGTGGCTCTGCATAATTTTCTTATGAGCCTTACTCTAAGTCAAAGGAGCAACTCATACAATTATTGCCCGGCAAATTATGTGGATCAAGAAAATCCATGTGGTACAATTCCAGGTGAGTGGAGAAACCATGACAGTTCAGATGGCTTAATACCTATTGCTCGAACTGGGTCAAATAATTATTCAAGAACTGCAAAGCAAGTGAGAGACGACTTCAAAGACTATTTCATGAATGAAGGAGCAGTAGACTGGCAATGGGCAACTGTGACAAGAACATGAAATTCTTGAGACAACTGATATTAATAAATTGCATGCAGACTTATTAAAGTACCTATGTCATGATTTGGGATTTTAAAAATGTTTTATCTTTGGTATATTTTATGAAGAAATGCAATATATCTTTATAAGAAAATATACCATCTTCATAGAATTATCAGTCACCAAAGTTACCAGATATGACATCAAATCGGGAATTTTATACGCTAGAAACAAAAGAAATCTAACTTGCAATTCCCTGTTTGATGTCATATCCGGTAACTTTGAGGCCTGATAATCCTGTGAAGATGGAATATTTTCTATTAAAGATATATTGCATTTCTTCATAAAACATACCAACGATTGCAAATAATAATTTACACAAATCATGACATAGGCTTTAAATTGTTATTTATATTTTGAAAACTGATCTTGAATAATGTTATTGATATTTTATTGTAATTTAAAAATGAAAATTAAAGCCCAGCAAATGACTTTCAGACAAGACATAACAAAATATAAAATTTATTGGGTAACGTTTCGTTGTATTGTTCACAACATCTTCAGAGCAATTAAACTTATTTACAAGCGTGTATTATATATATACAAATAGTTTCAAACGGTTACAGTATTCAAATAAGCGAATAAGAGGAAGGATGAAAAACAACCTGTCATTAAAAGCAATAGTATTAGTAAATTAAAGAAATAATGGTTAGTAATTAGAGACCTAGCAAAGCATTAAAAAAGGTCAAGAGGAGTTGACCTAATGTTAGCATTTAAAGTAGGATTAAGCTTGGATATGAAAAGGCTTTCGCGAATGAGTAAATCTGCTTCAGAACTAGCAGTGGAAAGGTGATTTTAAAATCAGAGGGTGAAATTTGATGTTTAGTGGTATGGATATGAGCGAGTATGCCTGACATGGTTGAAACAGAACGTTTCTTTCCAGTCAAAGGTGAAACACCCATGTGTTCAGAGATACGCGTGTGTATGTGTCGGCGAGTTTGACCAATATACAATGCACTACAGCATTGACACTTATACAAATACACCACATGTGATCTCAGTTCACCGGGAATTTTGTCCTTAAATGGAAAGAAATTGGAAAGACGGAAAGAAGGACGAAAGACGACACGTAAAGAAATGTGTGGATAGGCAGAAGAAAGAAATTTCTGAAGTTGTGATCGAATTTGCAAACCATGATGACCAGTGAAAGGAAGACAAAAATATATAACCTTTTTCGAGCAAGTATGAACTTTATCACGAGAATTATACATTTTATCAAGAAATGATTTGATACAACTATCCACAAGTGTTGCAGGATAACCATTAAGAGAGAAGGTTTTCTTGAATTTTCCATTTCCGAATGGAAAAATACATAAGAAGAGCAAATGTTGAAATAACGAGAGATAAGTGAGAAAAGTAAACCTTTTTTGTACAGCATTGGAATAAAACTGTCAAAATTGGTAAACAATCCCGTGGAAGTAGATTTATGATGAACCGTGGTAGCGAAAGAACCGTTAGAACGAATGACTTTGACGTCTAGAAAAGGAAGGCACGAATTACTTTCAAGCTCATGAGTAAATTGAATGTTGGGGTGTTTCGAGTTGAGATAGGAAAGGAGTAACATGGTCGCGTGATGTGAAAATAAGAAAACAATCATCAACATACCGACGGTAGAATATAGGCTTAAAAACAGAAGGGCAGTCAGCTAACCAGGATTTTTCATGAAAAGATAGGAATATGTTAGCAAACAATGGGCCTAAGGGTGAACCCATTGCTACACCATCAACCTGCTTGTATAGAACACCGTCAAATAAAAAATGGCAATTTTTCACAGAAAGATTCAAGAGTTCTCTAAATTGATCGCGAGAGATAGCATGATAGTGTGTGGCACTAGCAAAGCATTTATTAATGATTATATCAATAGTTTCATCTAATGGTATGTTAGTAAAGAGAGACTTAACGTCAAAACTGGCCATTATGACATCATTAGTATTAATTTTTAACTCACGTAATTCCTTAACAAATGTAAAGGTGTCATTAATTGTAAAAGTGTTAGTAGAGAAGGGACGGAGAAGTGGAACAAGAAATTTAGCAAGTTTGTAGGAGTGAGTACCTATAGCAGAGATTATAGGTCTAAGTGGGAAATTAGGCTTATGGACTTTAGGTAAACCATACATAATACCTGGTCGCGAGCCAATAGGATTAAGTTCTTTACTTAAATGTTCAGAAATTATTTCGTTAGATTTAAGTTCGTTTATGAGAGTTCGGACAGCGTCTTCACGGCGAGTGGTTTCTATTTAAATATTTGAAACCACTCGCCGTGAAGACGCTGTCCGAACTCTCATAAACGAACTTAAATCTAACGAAATAATTTCTGAACATTTAAGTAAAGAACTTAATCCTATTGGCTCGCGACCAGGTATTATGTATGGTTTAATCCATAAGCCTAATTTCCCACTTAGACCTATAATCTCTGCTATAGGTACTCACTCCTACAAACTTGCTAAATTTCTTGTTCCACTTCTCCGTCCCTTCTCTACTAACACTTTTACAATTAATGACACCTTTACATTTGTTAAGGAATTACGTGAGTTAAAAATTAATACTAATGATGTCATAATGGCCAGTTTTGACGTTAAGTCTCTCTTTACTAACATACCATTAGATGAAACTATTGATATAATCATTAATAAATGCTTTGCTAGTGCCACACACTATCATGCTATCTCTCGCGATCAATTTAGAGAACTCTTGAATCTTTCTGTGAAAAATTGCCATTTTTTATTTGACGGTGTTCTATACAAGCAGGTTGATGGTGTAGCAATGGGTTCACCCTTAGGCCCATTGTTTGCTAACATATTCCTATCTTTTCATGAAAAATCCTGGTTAGCTGACTGCCCTTCTGTTTTTAAGCCTATATTCTACCGTCGGTATGTTGATGATTGTTTTCTTATTTTCACATCACGCGACCATGTTACTCCTTTCCTATCTCAACTCGAAACACCCCAACATTCAATTTACTCATGAGCTTGAAAGTAATTCGTGCCTTCCTTTTCTAGACGTCAAAGTCATTCGTTCTAACGGTTCTTTCGCTACCACGGGATTGTTTACCAATTTTGACAGTTTTATTCCAATGCTGTACAAAAAAGGTTTACTTTTCTCACTTATCTCTCGTTATTTCAACGTTTGCTCTTCTTATGTATTTTTCCATTCGGAAATGGAAAAATTCAAGAAAACCTTCTCTCTTAATGGTTATCCTGCAACACCTCAATGTGGGGGGGGGGGGCCTATATTAAATGGAATGGCCCAATACTGCATATTGACAAACCCATAATTTGTTTACTGTATTGGTCATTGTAAATCCGACCAAGCCCAATTTCCAGCATATTGTCATGAACTGGATCACGAGTTTGTTCCTGTTCACCTTCAGATTCATCTCTAGTCTCAAACTCCTAAACCCAAACTCTTCCAAAACAAGATCCTGCTTGCTTTCTCCATCACTGCCATTGCTCCTCTGGTCTATATGTGTAGCTGCTCCAAAGAGTGTTCAGTAGACCTGGCAATGCTGGCATGACTCTTCCATAATACATCTGCTGTGATTCCACTCTATTTATCCTTTTCTTGCCTTTTTTGCTCAAGTTGTGTTTATTAATGTACTTTACTACTTGTCCAATTCTTGAAAGATGGTCATAATATCGACAACACCCGAAGTTTATCCAACCGGATTCCGAACATGAATCGATAAAAACAACATGGCTGAAGAAAACGAATTTGAAAGCTTTCTGAAGTCGTGATTTTTTTCTGTGTTGGTGTAATTATAGTGAAGTCGGTTATTAATCTGGCTTAGGGGTATTTGGAAAGATTTAAGGATACTGGTTTCAACGATATTGAGCTTATTAAATCACTAGAATCGGGGGAACAGAGGCAGATGTTTCACCTGATCGACCTGATGGGTTTTATCGGCAAAACTCGGGCATCTGCTGAAGTTTAAGAAGGCTCTGGCTACATATTCTCGCAATCCTGACAATCCAGCAACACAACGAATTGAAATAGTGTTCAAAACCCTGTAGCTCAGAAGAAGGTTCACAGAAGTATGATTATTACTCATTGTTGTGTTCTGTGCGTTCCCATGTCTAAAATGGCTAGTATGTATCCAAAATCCAATGTGTTACTTGCAACTTTAGCCTCAGGGATCTGAATCATTTTCATGATATCTTTCCAGTAAAGAACTACATCAGTATATGTGAATGCAACTACCACCAAGATTTATTTCAGCTAGAGGATGTGTGGACTGTGCAAGAGCCAAAGAGCAGTAGACCACATTAAAACCACTATCAACAAAATTAATAAGGACAGAGGTAAACTATTATTAAATCGCAAGAAAGAACTGTATGGGGACAACCTAGAGCCCAAGAAGTGGGCAAGCAATGAAATTGCTTTTGTTCAAGCTATGACAGCCCAGACAGGTGAAATGCTGAAGGAATCGGAGGAAATTGCTAAATAATGATATTGAACACATAAACAATCAGTTAAGGAAAAGGTTGGATGCTGCCTCTGTCGACAACTATGAGAAAAAGAGAAAAATGAAGAGAGCCAAAGAATAAAAATCAAAGGCAAAAACGAAAAGGAGCATTGTGGCTGCCAGATGTGAAGTAGACCTTGAAAGTGACATGTCAAGTGATGATATGCCAATTGACATTTTAGATGATTAAACTGTTTTTATTGTTTTTATAGGGTCTATAAAAATTAGTCTACTTTCATATTAAATAAATAAATAAATGCTGCCAATTTTTTTTTACCCAACCTTTAAGAGCTATAAAAATTTTTTTACCCAACCCATGATGTCTTAGAATTTTCAGTTGCCCAACCATTTTCTCTTCGGCCCCAACCCCGGGTGTAAATAATGACCGGTCCCTAAGAGAGTTTGGCAAATACAACGGCAGCGTTCTTATATCAACAATAGCATTTTTACTCTGAGACAAAGGCGACTATAATTTATATTCTTGAGCATTCTAGTACGC